GCGCACGACTCCCGCCGGAGAGCCGTGCAAGCCCCGGGGCGTCCGGGAAGGGCCGGCGTTCCCGCAGCACCTCAGCCGAGGGCGTGGGTCCAGAACCCGCCGGAGTTGGCTCTCTGCGAGCCGCGCCGTAGGAGGCGGGGCAGACCCCCGGCATCCGAAACGCTAGCCCTTCAGTCCCAATCCCGGCTCGCCCGCCTTCTCTAACCTCAGATACTCCGCAGAGCCCCGGCCGGCCGGCCGCCACTGGCTCTGCTGCGGGACTGCTCCAGGGCTCTGCCCGGCACCTTCAGGATGAAGCGGGACAGACTCCCGACACACCTCCCGCCCGGTACCCAGCAGGCTCCGCGGCGGCCCAGCGCCGCCCCTTCCCAGAGGCCCCTGCTCCAGCGAGGCTGTGGCTGGAGCGCAAGGTGCTGGTGGCCACGGGAAGGTGGGCGTGTGGGCGCTTGCTAAAAAGCCGGACAGTGTCCTTCGCTGCTGTCTCTGTGCCTCTTCATTCCAAAAGGAGCTGCTATCGCCTAAGTTCTCCATCTGGCGGGGCCCTCTCCCCTGGCCTCTGTGCCCCAAGTGTTATGATGCCATTTTGCCACCCTTGGCCTTACGTGCCTACCTTAGCTCTTCTCAACAGCCTTGCCAGCTGAAAGAACAACCATGAGCTAACTTTTCCAAAATGCCGGTGCTTAGGCCAGGGGCAATGGTTTGGTGGCTAAATCCTCATGTTGCATGCGCTGGGATCCCATATGGACACTGGCTTGTGTCCTGGCAGTCCCGCTCCCTTCCAGTTCCCGGAGTTTGGCCTGGGAAAACAGTCCAGGACCGCCCAAAGCCATGGGACCCTGCACCCGCGTGGGAGATTCAGAAGAGGCTCCGGGCTCCTGGCTTGGAATCGCCTCAGCTCTGGTTGTCGTGGGAACTTGGGGAATGAACCAGCAGCTGGGAGAGCTTCCTGTTTCTCCTCTCTATAATCTGCCTTTGCGATAAAAATAAATCTAAAACACACACACACGGAAACTGGCGTTCAATGTAGGTGTTCAATTTGCTTACTTTCACAAAACTGTTTCTTGGGACATGGTCAGTTTTACTTCCTGTCCAGGTCCCTGCTATTGCGCCTGGGAAAGCAGTAGAAGATAACCCAAGTACTTGAGCTCCTGTGAGACCCAGATGGAATTCTCCAATCTTGGTTTCAGCCTGGTCCAGCCTCTGCCTTTGTGGCCATTTGAGGCATTAACCAGTGGATAGAAAATGGCCCTCACTATGTATCACTCTCTGCCTTTCAAATAAAAATAGCTTTAAAATAGAGTGAGGGAGAGCGCTAAGAACACTGGAAGAAAAGTTAGCAGAATGTTAAAAAGGATGTGGTATGGTATGGTGGGATTTATCGCAGCTGGAGTTGTGGCACAGCAAATTAGGTGTGGGCAGCTGGCATCCCATGTCAGAATGCTGGCTGAATCCCACCTTCTCTGCTTCCCATCCAGCTTCCTACCAATGTACCTGGGAAGGCAGAAGATAAGGCCAGTACTTGGGCCCCTGCCACCCACGTGGGAGTCACAGATGAAGTTCCTGGCTAGCCTGCCAGCCTGGGTTGTGGTCATTTGGGGAGTAAAGCAGGTGGGTGCAAGATTCTCTCTCTCCCCAACCCCTGTCTTTCAAGTAAATAAGTAGATCTCTATCGTGTAGTACATTCCCAAATACCCACCACAGACATGGCTGGGCCAGGCTGAAGCCAGGAGCCAGGAACTCCATTTATGGAATCCCCCACATGGGTGGCAGGAGCCCAGAGATTCCAGCCACTATTTTCAGGCTCTCAGGCTGCACATTTGCAGCAGGGTGGACTTAGGAGAGAGGTGGAACTCAAACTCAGACATTGAAATATGAATGCAGGTGTCCTGAGCAACATCTTACCCACCGCATCAATACCACCTTAAACTGTGCTTACTTTTAAAGATTTATTATTGGGTGTCTCTCTCCCTCCCCTTTCCAGAGGCACCCCACCTCCCAGTTTTCTCTCCGGAGGTGCGTTGCCCTTCTCTCTCTCTCTTTTTTTTCTTTTTTTAAGATTTATTTATTTATTGGAAAGTCAGATATACAGAGAGGAGGAGAGACAGAGAGGAAGATCTTGCGTCTGATGATTCACTCCCCAAGTGAGTGCAACGGCCGGTGCTGCCGATCCGAACCAGGATCCAGGAACTTCTTCCGGGTCTCCCACACTGGTGCAGGGTCGCAAAACTTTGGGCCATTCTCAACTGCCTTCCCAGGCCACAAGCAGGGAGCTGGAGGGGAAGTGGAGCTGCCAGGATTAGAACCGACAACCATATGGGATCCTGGCGCGTTCAAAGCGAGGACTTTAGCGGCTAGGCCATGCTGCTGGGCCCTCCCCTTCCCTCTTTCTTCCCTGGTTACCTGGTCCCTTTGCAAATAAACTTTTCTGTCTGTAACAGAAAAAAAAATAATTATTTTTATTGGAAAGTCAGATATACACAGAGGAGAAGAGACAGAAAGATCTTCCATCCAATAATTCACTCTCCCAAGTGGCCACAATGGTTGGAGCTAAACCGATCCAAAGCCAGGAGCCAGGAGCTTATTCCAGGTCTCCTGCGTGGGTACAAGGTCCCAAGGCTTTGGGCTGTCCTCAGCTGCTTTCCCAGGCCACAAGCAGGGAGCTGGGTGGGAAGTGGGGCCACTGGGATTAGAACCGGCGCCCATATGGGGTCCCAGTGCGTGCAAGATGATGACTTTACCTGCTGGGCTAACGTACTGGGCCCAAATTGTGATTGTTTTTAATTAACCTTTCTATTGTGGATAGCTTGAGTGTTGAAGTGATTTTATGCTTATGTAGAAAGACAGCTTTTGTATCAGAAATATGAAGTTGAGCAAAAGCTTTCTAAACAAGTGTGAAATAAGAAGGCATTGCTGGACTCAGGCCAGAGGTCTCTACTTTCTCTAGCCATGAAAACCTGTCCCCAGCTTTTTACACTAGTGTCACTCTTCAAATGCGGTTTTGGGGGCAGGGAAAGAGGCAGTTATCACTGAATGAAGTGAAGCAGGACATTAAAAATAGTCATGGATCTGGGGAATAAGGACTATTCAATATAGCCATACCACAAAATTCACAAGATGCTTCTCCTAGGGCCCGGTGGCTTAGTGGCTAAAATCCTTGCCTTGCACGCCTGGGATCCCATATGGGCACCGCTTCTATCCCAGCAGCCCCACTTCCCATCCAGCTCCCTGCTTGTGGCCTGGGAAAGCAGTTGAGGACAGCCCAGAGCTTTGGGACCCTGCACCAGCGTGGGAGACCTGGTTCCCGGTTTCGGATCGGCACAGCACCTGCTGTTGCACTCACTTGGGGAGTGAATCGTCGGGCGGAAGATCGTCTGTCTCTCCTCCTCTCTGTATATCTGACTTTGCAATAAAAATAAATCAATCTTAAAAAAAAAAAAAAAACACATGCCCCTCCTGGAGCTGTTCCAGGAAGTGAGTCTCAGGGTTCATCTCTAAATAAAAGTTCTTAATTTGTTTTTTTGCTCTCTTGGGAGCATTTGCAACTATGCAAATAATTTTAGAAATGGTCTTATTTCCCTTTCATCCTGTTTTTCCTTCCCTGGTCTTTCAGAGGGCAGGTTTCATACCTCTAGCACTGCACTTATTCTACCAGATAGCAGTTTTATACTCACAGAAATGTTCACCAGAGCTGTGCTGGCCCGGTATGGCAGGTACCTCTACATATATAGCCAACACTTGAAATGTGGCTAGTCCAAAATAAAAGTAACTATAAAATACCTACATACTTTTGAAGACCTCTTACCCGCCCCCCCCCCCCCATTACATACTGGTTACATATTGGAACATCTTGGATATACTGGGTTAAGTATTTTTATACTCACTTCATTGTATTAATGTAGCTGCCTAAAAGCTGTCACATGTGGCTTGCATTTGTGCAGCTCACTGTAGATTTCCCTTAGATGTGCTGCTTTTGAACATTTGAGCCTTAAAGACAAAGAATTCACCTTGCTCACGTTTCAGCTCTTCTCAAATGCTGGGCTCATAACTGGTATAATCTTTATGTGTTCCAGAGAACCCCACCCACTGATGACATTCCGTATTTGAAAATATGCTCTTCATGTGAAGATCAGCCTCTTTTCAGTCAAATATCAATTGTGATCATTAAAAAGGGTATTTTTTGTTAGAGCCAGATGTGACAGCTGGGGAGTCGGGGAAATGGAAAAGAGTTGGCACATGCCCACTCAAAACAAGCCGCTTCAGATACAGGGCACTCTGAACCCTGAATCACCTAGAGTGGCTGATTTACACGAGACTGAAAAACCTAAGGCTGACCTTATGTGAGACTTCGAGCGAGGTTCAAATAATGTGACCAAGTGAGTTTCTATTTCTCCCATCTGTTTCCTTTGAGTTTACAAGAAGCCTCCTGGGCTACAGCATCCTAGCTCCTGGGCTATAGCCATCCAGATGTATGTTCAGTGGGAAGAAAAGTACACTTCCCTGAGAACTCCAATGCAAGTCCAGAAATGAACCATTATGACTTGAATTAGTTCTATGCCTGGCTTAGCCAGATGCTTCTAGAATACAGTCTAAGGCAAGTAATATGTTTATTTTGAAGGTACATTGCTCTGTAACTCTGGCTTTCAGATCAATAAACAAATCTTATCCTCCCACAAAGAAAATCTGTATATTCCCTTGGATATACACAGAAAAGTTTGGAAGGGTACACGCAAAAATTAGTTACAAACTATGGTTGCCTCTGGGTAGAATGAGATGGGAGACAGAGGTTTCTCACTGTGTAAGTTTTCTAAACTTTTATGTTAGGTGGAAGCTTTCCCATTAAGTTTTTTTAATTAAAAAAAAATAGGGGTGGAACTACTTTAAACAGTAGTTCCTAAATGCTGGTCTGAATGTAAGTCAGTGAATTATCATGAAGAAAAATGTATTCATTCCCTGTGAGATCAGAAAAAGCATTACATTATTTATTTTTCCTAGTGCTGAATTCATTTAAATAGGACAAAATTTGATTAAATAGTTTGTATGGAAGCATCAGTAGATGCCAGTGACATCACAGTAGAAAAAAAATGAAAGTTAGCATCTTTCTAGCAATTCCTCAAATTTACTGAGTCCTGAAATTCTACAACATAGAATCTTTGAACTAGACTTGGTTTAGGTTTTATGTTAAATCTCTATTTTTATACATTTTTTTGGAAGGCATTCCTCTTGTGTATTTCATGGTGTCGACTGAGTGATGAATTATAACTGAATGCTTTTCCACACTCGGTACATTCATAAGGTTTTTCTCCTGTGTGATGTCTCTGATGCTTCTTAAAGGAGGAGTCGTGCCTGTAGGCTTTCCCACAGCGATTGCACTCATATGCTTTCACTCCTGTGTGGACAGTTTTATGGTTGCTCAGGTGTATCCTCTGCCTAAAGGCTTTCCCACATTCCTTACACGTGTAGGGTCTCTCTCCTGTATGGATTCTCTGATGATGCGTCAGATATGCTCTGTGACTGAAGGTTTTACAACATGCCGTGCATGCATAGGGCTTCTCCCCAGTGTGAATTCTTACGTGTTCACTCAGGTGTCTGATCTGTCGGAAGGTTTTTCCACATTCATTACACGTAAAAGGCTTCTCTCCAGAATGAGTCCTCAAATGTTGGATCAAGCTAATGTTCTGGCTGAAAGCCTTCTGACACTTATCACAAGCATAGGGTTTCTCCCCCGTGTGAGTTCTGTGATGCTGATTAAGTGATGAGCGATGTCGGAAGGCCTTGCCACACTCCTCACACTCAAAGGGCTTCTCTCCAGTGTGGATTCTCTGGTGGGTACTAAGGGATGCACTCTGACTGAAGGCCCTTCCACATTCTTCACATCTGAAAGGCTTCTCTCCAGTATGAATTCTCATGTGTTCAGTAAGGTGAATGGGCTGCTTGAACACTTTTTCACATATAGTACATTCGTAAGTCTTTGTTCTTATGTAATTTGTTGGATGGTTAATCAAATCCAACTTGTATTTGTTCCTCTTTCTAGATGTGTCACATTTATGATGCTTCTGTTCAATAATAACATTTGAACTCACAATGATATTTTCTTCAAAGTTGTTAGTTTCTTGGCCTCTCATCCTGCTGGTCAAAATGTCTTGTCTCTTGTCTCTTCCATAGGTTTCCTGGTGCCTGTCTAACGCATCCTTGTAACAGGAGACTTGTTTCAGTGTGGAATAAATGATCTCATCCTTCATGAACCGTTCCATCACAACGCCATGATATAACTGCTCCTGGGAATCACTGCCCTTGGCAGCTGGATCACTGGCTTCTGTCAAATCTGAAAAAAAGAAGAAATATACACTTAGCCCACATTTATTATGCTGTCCAAAATCACTCACTCAAGTGGATATGGAACATTTAGATAATATGTAAAGTACATGAGAGTTTAGCTATGATTACAGTCGCACAAATTGAGAGGAAATTGGAAATGAAATTGAGGAACAGTGAATAAATTGAAAATATCATTTTAAATATATTGGTTGTGAGATCTGTATGTTTCAGTATCATTCTTTTTAATAACACTAAGTAATGAAATTCCAATGTTATGTCTTCAGAATGTTAAATCTTTTAAACTGACAAATACTTTTGGGAAAATAATCTAATACAGATAAAAATGTCCCTCCTACTCCAGAAGCAGGAGGATACACTTGTTCCAGCAACAGAATTTAAAATAAAAAATTATCCTGTCCTTTATTATTATTATAATTTTTTAAAGATTTATTTATTTTTATTACAAAGTCAGATATACAGAGAGAAGAGAGAGGAAGATCTTCTGTCCAATGATTCACTCCCCAAGTGAGCACAAGGGCTGGTGCTGTGCTGATCCAAAGCCGGGAACCAGAAACCTTTTCTGGGTCTCCTGTGTGGGTACAGGGTCCCAAAGCTTTGGGCCTTTCTCAACTGCTTTCCCAGGCCACAAGCAGGAAGCTGGATGGGAAGTGGAGCCGCTGGGATTAGAACTGGCACCCATATGGGATCCTGGCGCATTCAAAGCGAGGACTTTAGCTGCTAGGTCACACCTCCGGGCCCTGTGCTTTATTAGAAAAGAATGTGTGTACATATATAGTCCTGCTTCCTAAAGTTATTAATACATCCAAAGATCCACAAAAATGTTATTTAACCAAAGGAGAAAAATAAGAAACCCAGACTGGCACCGGGTATGGTAGGCTAAGTCTCTGCCTGTGGCACTGGCATAGTTCAAGTCCCAGCTGCTCCATTTCTGATCCAGCTCCTTGTGTATGGCCAGTGGATAGCTCAAGTCCTTGGGCCTCTGTACCCAAGATTAGTGTAACTGCTTTGAAGAGCAATCTGGTAATAGCAAAATAAAAATGCTTATAGTCCATGGCCAACAATTCTGCCCCTACCAACCATCTTAGCAAAATACCTGCATGTGTATACAAGGAGACATGCATGTGAAAGCTCATCACAACATCTTTATAATCCCCAGATGTGGAAACATTTTAAATATCTGTTAATAATAAATTCTAGTCTATGAATTCAATGGACCTGGATGATCTAAAATAATATAATGAAATATCAGCAGTGTTAAATAAAAAAACAAGAAGAGGAACTATATATACTGTTTATTTAAGAACAGGACACAAAGGGGTCTACGAGATGGCTCAATTGACTCATCCTCTGCCTGCAAGCGCTGGCATCCCATATGGATGCCAGTTTGTGTCCTGGTTGCTCCACTTCCCATCCAGTCTGTTTGTGGCCTGGAAAAGTGCTGGAGAATGGCCCAAGGCCTTGGGACTCTGCACCTGCGTGGGAGACCCAGAGGAAGTTCCTGGCACCTGGCTTTGGAACGGCTCAGCTGTAGCCATTTGGGGAGTGAACCGATGGATGGAAGATCTTTCTGTCTCTTGTTCTCTCTATAAATCTGCATTTTCAGTAAAAATAAAACTTTAAAAATAAAATAGGATACATAAAACAATGCTATGTGTATTGTTTAGGGACATACATATATATATAAGTATGAAGACATATGGGAAGGGGTATAAACTCAAAAGAGTGGTTGTTTTGAAAAGTGGAAGAATAGCAGGGATTCAATTCTAATTAATTTCTTTAAAAAATTTTTAGGGCCTGGGCCCGGCAGTGTGGCCTAGTGGCTAAAGTCCTCACCTTGAATGCACCAGGATCCCATATGGGCACTGGTTCTAATCCCGGCAGCTCCACTTCCCATCCAGCTCCTGGCTTGTGGCCTGGGAAAGCAGTTTGAGGACGGCCCAAAGCTTTGGGACCCTGCACCAGTGTGGTATACCCGCAAGAAGTTTCTGGCTCCTGGGTTCGGATTGGCATAGCATCGGCCGTTCCACTCACTTGGGGAATGAATCAACAGATGGAAGATTTCCTCTCTGTATATCTGACTTTGCAATAAATAAATAAATCTTTAAAAAAAAATTTTTTTTAAGGGCCTACTGGCTAAAGTCCTCGTCTTGCACACGCCGGGATCCTATACGGGTGCCTGTTCTAATCCTGGTGCCCTCGTTTCCCATTCAGCTTCCTCCTTGTGGCCTGGGAACGGTCGAGGACAGCCCAAAGCTTTAGGACCCTGCACCCTCATGGGAGACCTAGAAGAAGTTCCTGGCTTCAGATTGACGCAGCTCCGTCTGTGGGGGCTGGTTGGGGAGTGAATCATCAAATGGAAGATCTTCCCCTCGGTCTCTCCTTCTACCTGTATAGCTACCTTTTCAATAAAAAATAAATAAATCTTAAAAAAAATTTTTTTTAATTTATTCTAAAGACAGAACAGAGAGGGAGACAAAAATCTTCCATCCTCTGATTCATTCTCCCAAAGCCTGCATGGAACAGCCAGGAACCTATGCTGGTCTCCCACTTGGGAGGCAGAAGCCCAAATAGTTAGGCTCACCTTCTGCTGATTTTCCAGGCACATCAGCAAGGTGCTGGATTGGAAGCTGAGCAGAATAGACTTGAACTGGTACTTCAGTACGTAATGCTGATGTCACAAGCTGCAGCTTAACCTGAAGTGTGACAATGCCATCCTCCTCTCATTTCTTAGTGTAGGCAGAGGCTCAGAAATTTGCTAAAATATTCTGAATGTCCACAAAGTTCAAGAAGATTGCTAAACACCGCTGGATTTGGTAAGAAGAAATCCTGTGGTAATTTCTCTTACAGGAGCTTCATAAAATGGCTGTTCCAAGAAATTCAGACTAGCAGGACGGTCCTGAAGAGATCTCTTTTTTGGGGGAGATCATACACATTTGATTGCTCAGAGAACAGAGCTTGGAACAGTTAACCTTAGGCCTCTAGAGAAAGAGGGGAAAATCAAGTTTAAACTTAGTGAGGACACGGTATCTCTCCCTTCTGACTCCACAGAGATGACTGCAGGAAAAAAGGGGTAAGGAGAAAGGAAGACATCAGGCTTAGTGCAGGCCCCATCCAGTGGCCTGAGTCTTTTTCCCAGGCGAGGGAGTCAGGAGCACTCTGGCTGGTACAGTAAAAGACACCACCTGCCTTGGTCTCACCTGGACTGGGGTCTCCTAGATCTTCTTTCTGTGTCATCCATGGCTCCTCCCCCTTCTCCAACTGGGTAATCACATTCGGTTTGGAAAGCTGAAATCCTGCTTTTGAAGTAAGAAATCAGTATGAATGCTTAGGCTGATGCTTAAGAACCATTCCCAGGCTTTTAATCTCAATAGCCAATATGCCATCTAGACTGAGGAAAACCTACAACTGCGCGGCTACATAAGCCACAGTCATAGCCTGGCAAGCTCCAGAAGCACCTGGGAGGCCAGGGGAATGCTGGTGGCAGGCATCACCTCAGGATCAACTTTGACAAATATCCAGGTTGTGGCCTTTTTCCCCATCCTTGGATACTGGGATGGTTGGGAGGCTGAGTATGGCCTATCCCTTTACCTCCTCCCTCCCCCCAGAAATAGGAAGAAGAAATAGAAAAATTGGCAACAACAATCACCCCCATTTCACCCTAACCCTAGATACTTCTCACCCTGATTGACTATGTAACCATCATCTAAAAAAATAAAATAAAAAATATCACTGGGGTTACTTTGGGAAAGTTGGTATGAGGCAATATGACTTGAAGAGGAACCAGAGATTCTGCCAACCTTGGTAAGCTGTAGATGCTGGGCAGTGAGCAGACATGAGTGAGTGCTGCCAAGAGCTGTCCCTATCACTGATGGGTGTGCTTGGGCTACTACATAGTTCTGAGAAAGGGAAGGCTCCGAAAGCAGATTGTCATTGCAAAGGCCAAAGTCATCAGCAGAAGAGCTGAGAAGAATAAGGAGGTGGGGGAGCCTGTGTCCTGGTGGCTTGAA